TTTTCTTAACTTCTCTACCTCTGATTTTTCTGTCCCAATAATATGTCCCAATCTTTATTCTGGTCAACAAATTGTACTATTTTAGAATATTTCAATTAATTGATGATACAATTTTCATCTTAACACACCTTATTTAAAAATTTTGAAAAATTCAACATAATGGTTTGAAACGTCTAACGTAAACCTTTTCAAATGAAACTTCGATTTAAAAATATTGTCGAACCCTCTGGACAAGTAAAATAGGATGTAATGGATAATTTACACAACAGGTAGGACACTTAAACATCTAGTACTTAGATAGAGATATTATTTATTTTCTGGAGCTTTCAAGCCAGCAAGAGTGTTATTGTCCCTTTAAATAAAAAACAATGAACAGTCGATGATACCCTTTGTTATCCACCCACTGTAAAAATTAGAATACCTAAACATAAAACAAAAATATTACCGTTATTTTCTTAAACTATAATTTCCTGAAAGGCTTTCGTGATCTATATAACGCCTGGTTAATATCATTAATCATATTTTAATCAATAGAGTTCAATCAGAACGGTATGTTTGATACAATAAAATATCTGCACTAAGACTAGTAATTATTTCCCTTTATTTCATGATGTAATGCGAGTTATACATAAACAATTTTTATCTTATTTCTCCGCTTTTCCTGCATGTTTTGGTTGACTTTTTGGTCTAAATAAGGGATCAAATTTGCAACATATTAGGAGTTATGGGAAATTCTGATGATACTAGAGCGGAGGTATAGGGTTGTAAAGTGTCTTTGTGCAGATTTGGCCACCAGTCAGCATCAAATCCTACTAGCAAAAACTCCAAACAATCCACGGCCTGTTGAGCAAAAAGCTACAGCCTGTGATGTTACCGCCTTTTAACATTGAAGTCAATGGGCAAATAATTGCTGTATATAAAGAATTGGACGCAGGCCATTATTGTTGTTGTTCTTGGTGTTTAACGTCCGCTTCCACCGAAGGTGATATCGCAGACAAGTCTTATTATACCATTTTTAATTTCCCCATCGACTTTAATGTTAATTATGGCCTCTTTGTCGGGCTCCAACTTTTCCCCAAATATTCGTTGGGTTGAATGCGCTTCACTACAGACAGAGAAACAAATATTCAT